ACACCATTGTAAAGCAATTATACTCCAATAAAGATGTTAAACGACTCTACAAAGCTCTTTTTTTTTTCTTTTTATGGCTGCAAATCTTGTGATGGGAAGAATATACTATCCTGGTTCACCCAGTCATGTCACATGAGTCCTTAAAAATGGAAGAGGAAGGCAGAAGACTGCATCAGAGAGCTGCAGTGTTAAGAAGGACTTTCATGGCAGTTTCTGTCTTTAAAGGTGAAGAAGAGAGCCAAGGCACTTAGGCAGCCTTTAGAAGTTGCAATAGGCCTTCAGCAGATAGCCAGCAAGAAAATGAGGACTTTTTTGTGTGGAATGACCAAGACACAGAGTTTTCTCCAGAGCTTCCAGGAAATTATGCAGCTTTGTCAACATCTTGATTTTAGCTTGATGAAATGTGTATTGGACTTCTGACATCCAGAATTGAAAAGTAATAAATTTATCTCAATAAACCACTAAGTTTGTGGGTTTTTTAAAAAATTATAGCAGCAGTAGCAAACAAATGCTTGTGGTTTGGTTTTTCTAATCCAATTGGAGTGCTGAATTATTGATTCCAAGTAAAGGATAAAAGGTTAACTCTGCATGTTGTAACCCCTAGATCAACCACCAAAAATTTACATGAGGAGATATAGTAAAAAATCACAATTGATAAATTAAAATGTCACACTAAGAAAATGTTTAAATCTAAACAGTGCGGGAAAGAGGAAACAGAACAAGTAGCAGAGGAAACAAAAAAATCCTAGACCTAAGTACAAACATATCAATTATTACATTAAATGTAAATGCTCTAAACAAACCAACTACAAAGTAGAGATTGTCAGAATGGATTTAAACAGCAAGAAGAGAACTGTTTTAACTGTGACATGTATACAAAAAACAATAGTTCAGTACTGGCACAAAAACAGAAATAAATATCAATGGAACAGGGTAGAAAGCCCAGAAATAAACCCATGCACCTATGGCCAATTAATTTATGACAAAGATGGGAAGACTGTAAAATGGAGGTAAGACAGTCTTTCAATAAATGGTGCTGGGTAAAAGGGACAGCTACACATAAAAAAATGAAATTAGAACATTCTTTAACACCATACACAAAAATACACTCAAAGTGGACTAAAGACCTAGATGTAAGACCAGATACTATAAAATTCTAAGAGGAAAACATAGGTAGAACACTCTTTGACATAAATCACGGCAATATCTTTTTCTGTCTCCCAGAGTAATGGAAAAAAAACAAAAAAGAAATGAGACCTAATTAAACTCAAAAGCTTTTGCACAACAAAGGAAATCATAAAGAAAACAAAAAGACAATCCACAGAATGGGAGAAAATATTTGCAAACAATGCAACTGACAAGGAATTAGTCTCCAAAATTTACAAACAGCTCATGCAGCTCAATATCAAAACAACAAACAACTCAATCAAAAAATGGGCAGAAAACCTAAAGAGACATTTCTCCAAATAAGACATACAGATGGCCAAGAGGCACATGAAAAGGTGCTCAACATCACTAATTATTAGAGAAATGCAAATCAAAACTACAGTGAGATATCACCTCACACCAGTCAGAATGGCCATCATCAAAAAATCTGCAAACAATAAATGCTGGAGAGGGTGTGGAGAAAAGGCAACACTCTTACACTGTTGGTGGCAATGTAAATTGGTACAGCCACTATGGAGAACAGTATGGAGGTTCCTTAAAAAACTAAAAATAGAGCTACCATATGATTCAGCAATCCCACTTTTGCATATATATCCGGAGAAAAACATGGTTTGAAAGGAGACATGCACCGCAGTGTTCAGTGCAGCACTGTTTACAGTAGCCAAGACGTGGAAGCAACCTAAATATCCATCGACAGATGAATGGATAAAGAAGATGTGATACATATATACAATGGAATATTACTCAGCCATTAAAAAGAATGAAATAATGCCATTTGCAGCAACATGGATGGACCTGGAGATTATCATACTAAGTGAAGTAAGTCAGACAGAGAAAGACAAATAGCATACGATATTGCTTATATGCAGAATCTAAAAAATATGATACAAATGAACTTATTTACAAAACAGAAACAGACTCACAGACTTAGAGACACGAACTTATGAACTTACGGTTACTGGGGGGGGGGGTGGGGGGAAGGGTTGTGGAGAGGGATAGATTGGGAGTTTGGGATCAACATGTACACACTGCCATATTTAAAATAAAATGCCTTTCCATGAATAAAAATAAAAGAAAAACAACAGACCTTCAAAATACAGAAGCAAAGACTGACATAACTGAAAGGAGAAATAGACAAATTCACAGTTATAGCTAAAATACGAACACCTGTTCAATAATAACAAGTAGTAGAGTATAAAAGAACTAAACTGTCAACCAACTAGATCTAACAGATATCTATGTAACACTCCATTAAATGCAGATTGACTAAAAGTATTTCTAGATGAACAGAGAAACAATCGTTTTGAGCATATTTGCAAGTTAAACTATAAGATGTGAATTAAATAATGTACTTGTGTCTTGCTAATGTGAAATACAAATTTATGTTTAGAGTAGCAGTTTTAAAAGCAGCATAGAGTTGTAAAATACTTAAAAATTTTAAAGCAGGAATGACCCAGGATGAAATGAATTTAAAAGCTGGGTAACATTGTAATATTAAATATTTACTCTATGTGAAGCATTATTCTAAGTACTTTTTATGGACTAACTCATTCAGTCCTCACAAGATCCCTATGAGGTAGTTATATTTAAACTTATGTATAAAAATGGAAATAATAATGAGACAGCTCTTAAGTAACTTGAGTTAAGATATCAAAATATGACATTATGATAGTATTATCAGTAGTAATAAAAAGTAGCTTTTCCTGACTGAACACTTTCTCTGTATCAGATACTCAGACACTGGGACTTAACACTTTATCTCATTTTGTCTATAAACTAGGTGATACAATCCCCAGTGGATAGGTGAAAAAAGTGAGACTTAGTGTGATAGTACCCCAAAGTAGAACATAAAAAAGTAAAATTCCAACCTGTGGAGTCTGTCTCTAGAATCCATTCATCTCCGCGTTGCCTACTGAAGATAACAAGTTCATCCTGGGATGCTAATGGTCAACAGGCAAGAGCTGTAGAGTCATATTGTCCTGATCTTCAGAAGGCAGTGACTTCCCAATGACTAAATATCCTGGGCTGGGTACAAATGCATGAAGTCCTTGATTTTTGAAAATGCTTTTTGCCATGGCTCTTGGTCTTTGTTGTCCTCAGCCAAACGTGGCAATATGAGTACAGGCCAAATTAGAGTGACTTGACCACACTGTACTTTTTCATATTGGAAAGATTTATTCTGAGGCACTTGACACAGAGAATAAGGGTTATTGCTCCAAATTTGATTTTAATCTGATTCCTAATGCGTCCGCCTTGTTATATCTTAAATTACTTCCTTTCTTGCATGGCATTCACCATAATGTATCATATTTGTCTGTGAAGCATTCCTATCACTCACACCCAACTGTTTGTGGGAAACATTTTCTCTAAATCTTTCATTCTCAAGCTGCAGCTCTGAAGGTGGCTTTTCTTAAGATTTCCATTATAGAGGTTTTGCCAGTTCTTCTGATCTGGTACACTGGAATAAGGGCAGACCTCTCACTCTTATTTTAATATAAATTTTAAAGATACTAGATGGAATCCTAGTTGATATGAGCAGTTGTTTGTCCTTCAAAGTGCACACTTAACTCTAGAAGGGAAGATGATAAGCTTAAAGCAGGATTGACAAACTACAGTCTGCTGCCTCTTTTTATAAAAAAAGTTTTATTGGAACACAGGTACACTCTTTCATTTTGGTATTATCTATGTTTCCTTTGGCGTCACAACAACAGAGTTCAGTAGTTTGACCACCATCTCACCCTCAAAGTCTACAATATTTACTAACTGGCCTTGTACTGAAATTGTTTGCTGACTCTGGGTTTAGAGACATAGAAAGGGAGTCCCTTGAACATACTGGTTAAAAGATGCTGTTATTTTTCTAGTAAATGTCTTTTGCTCTGCTTTCTCTTGAGAGGAGAGAAGAAAGAAGCCTTCTTATTTACTTTTTATTTTTATTCCTGTTTTTTTTCAAGGTTTAATAAGGTATAATTGACAAACAAAAATTGCATATATTTAAGGTATACAGCGGTCAATTTAATATACGTTACAAAATGAGTACCACAATCAAGTTAATTAATATCTCCATCACCTCATAAACTTACCATTTTTATGTGTGTGTGTGTGCTGAGAACACCTGAGATCTACTCTCTTAGCAAATTTCAAAAATACATGGTGATTATAAAAATAAAAAAGACAAAGAGATGAGTGTTGGCGAGGGTGTGGCGAGTAGGGAACATTTACGCACTGTTGGTGGAAATATACATTGGTCTAGTTATTATGGAAGACAATATGGAAGTTCCTTAAACAACGAAAAACTAGAATTAAACCAGCTATCCCATTTCTGGGTATATATTCAAAGGAAATGAAATCGGTATCTCCAAGAGATATCTGCATCCCTTTTCACTGCAGCATTATTCACAGTAGCCAAAATTTGGAAAAAAACCCTAGATGGCCATTGAAGCATGAATAGATAAAGAAAATGTGGTATATACAGTGGGATATTAGTTAGTCATAAAAAGAAGGAAATTCTGTCATTTGCAGCAACAAAGATGGACCTGGAGTGCAATGAGTGAAATAAGCCAAACTCAGAAAACCGTCTTTTAATGTCACATTTTTTGTGTCAACCTTATAGTTTCATGCATTCATTGCTTTAACTTTTCTGTAACTACTCTGATAAAAAGATCTTAAAAATTCAGTCCCATAAGAATGCTTTTCCTGATATTTGTAGATGTTACCAGTCAAATGTTTCGATCTTGATCACTTAATGGAAGGGTAAGATTCTTGAGTCATGTTTTCCACTTTGATGTGCCCTGACAGCAGCTTCATGTTCTTTCTTTTTGTCTTCTGTTTCCTAGGAAGGGCCTGTAGAGACGCACTCTTTTCCAGAGTGAGCTTCCTGGGTCTTCATGCAGCCATGGATCTGGATAAACCTTCTGTCTGGGACTCTTTAAAACAGCGGACCAGGCCTTTGTTAATCAACCTGAGCAAGAGGAAGGTAAAAAAGAACTCAGACAAACCCCTGGACTTACGGGCCAGGCATTGTCTGGACCGTCACCTCAGCTTCTCCGTCCCTGACCTCCTGGAGGCTGAGACCTTGGCCCCCGAGGGGCGGCCTTACTCCCGGCCCCAGTCGCCCTACACCTCGGTGCCTAGCAGCCTGTCGACGGCAGGGATCGTTCCCAAAAGTAGCAGTAGCTCTTTGAAACAGTCTGAAGAAGAATTGGATTGGAGCCAGGAAGAAGCAGGCCACTTCCATGTAGTGGAAACAGACTCCCAGGAGACCTATGCCTCTCCTGCCGAGGACAGGAGGGCTTCCAGCAATGGCATCTTTGATGTGCTCCAGAAAACTCCCCTTGGAGAGGATGCGCCAGAAGGGCCAGAGGTGAGACCAGGGCTGGGCATTTTCCTGTTTGTCTGTCTTTTTTCTTTTTTTAAAAGTGTATTCAGTGCCCTTGAAAAATTTGGTTAGGATTTATTTTTGTGGTTAGCTTGCATGGAGAGGATGTCATTTATAAGAATTTAAACGAAGGTAATATTGATTGCACCAAGTGTTCCCATTTGTTTGGGGGTTGACCTCTATGTCTTTTAAAAGTATTACAAATAACCTTCCTAGAGTACTTCAAGGCATTAAAAGGCCTGTTGGATGAGTTTTCCTTTTTCCATCTCCTGGCAAAGAAATCAAGAGCATAGCTTTAACTTTTTGCTGAAATGTGTGTCTGTTTCTATCTCTCTATCTCCACTACCCACAGACAAAAATGCATATTCACATTCCTAAGAAACGTAAGAATATGTGCCTCCTTTTGACTGCCAGAGAGTTGGAACTCTCTTCTCCTTCACAAGTACATACCTGCGTGAGTGTCTGCTCCTGTGCACACTTACCTGTGGGCAACTTCACTTCCCTCCTCTAAAAATGAAAAGAAAGCCAAATATTAAAGGAAGCAAATTCTTATCAATTCAGTGATTTTTGTAAAGCTTTAGTATTTCTATAAGGTAGAAATAACCAAATATAATTATGCAGCAAATATTATATTTCTAGGATGAATTTAATTTAAATGTAGTCAGCAGATGACCAACTATAACTATACGGATAATCAGTTCAATCAGTTTTTTTAAAAACTCTTACATTTATGGCACTGGAAGTAGGTTTCAGTGTTGAAGCAATGGCTTAATTTTTTTATATTCTAGGTTAGTGTTATAATTATGGACAAAACTGGTTATTCCACTAGGATTCTTGATTTTATTTTTAGAACCAAAGCCTCTTAATTATGCCATACATTTAGATTTCACTGGGGAGTGGGACTGTGGATATTTGAAGACCATATTCTTTCGGAAGCATTATTATGTTAAGACACCATTAACCATTAAATGACTTAACTGTTTGTTTCATAACCATTAACATTTATGAAATCGTTTTTGTAACATTTTTTTATGATGTTTACTGTTATTTGTAAATTTGAAATATCTTTTGCCACTAATCAAAATATAAATTAAGTGAATTTTTAAACATAGTTCCTAATTCATAGTTTAGTATGAAGGAGGTAAGATGTTAAATTGTATACTAATGTTAATCTTTATCTTCTTGTTACTTATTAACTGACCAGAAAAAAAATAGGAGGGCTTCTTGGCCTTGATAGGCTAACAAACTCAAGTTAGAGTAAGTTGTTTTAAAAGTTAGTGCTGTTAAACTGTTTCGCTGACTATAAATATTTAATGCCTACTCTAACTCGGGCATCATAAAGATTCTTTTGGAAATAAGAGATGGATAAGAATGTGACCCTGCCTTCAAGTTGTGATCTATTAGGACATAGGATTAATTGTAGCATAAGAGGCAAAGAGAAATTGGGGCTGGCTGTCTGTGCAAAACATTCAAGCCTTTCTCCTGGCAGCTCAGAGGTTGGAGGAGATCATATGTGGGGATCCAAGGGCTTGTCATGTGTGAGGCAGTGTTCAAGTTGGCACAGAGGATAAGTAGGATTTGATAGGTGAGGAAATATGACAAGCACAGGCCTGAAGTGTGGATGGGTGGTGGTCAAGGGTGGTGAGCATTTTGCTCTGCCTTGAATGAAGAAGGCTGGAGGGCTTTCTGACATGACGTGTATCTGCAGTGACTGTGGGCTGTGCTGAGGGCTGTCAGTGATGTGATGGCGGAGGATGGATGGTTTGCAGATGGGTGGTAGTGGTTATTTTCTCTTCTCCAGCTAAATGCAGAAGAGCTTGGAATGTGCAGTCCTTTAGGTTATTCTGGGTAGTTTGATTTAACTCAGCCATTAAACAAACAAACAAACAACAACAACAACTAAAAACTTCTTTCTTGAAAAAGAATCTTCTGCTTCTCTTCTCCTGCCCTAAAAATAATTGACATAGACTGAGACTGAGTCTGCCTTCCGTGGCCCCTCATTGCCATTTATCTGCTTTGTGAGCTGTTTGCAGAGGATGGAGAGACAGGGCTGTAGCTCATCAGGCCTGTAGGATCACTTGTGGTCAGGTGCACTATCTCACCTACCCACTGCTCCTCCCCTGTTCCTCTCCCTCCCCCTGTATTGGGTGGGCTGCTCCCACTACCTGAGGATCCAGTTCATCACTTGGCACAGAAGTTAGCCCCTCCCTTGCTTCTCTTTTGCACTAGGCTATGTTAATTTTCAGGTGGTGTGACTGGGGAAGTCTTGTCTAACTTGTGTTTGCTCAGGGCCCAGCTCCATGCCTGGCCCATGGTATGTGCTCCATCAATGTTTTTTTAATAGAGAAATCAATGATGGCAGTGTGTGCATTCATAGGGCTTTTCTTAGTGTCTTCTCTTTGACTTCTCTTCAGTTTATGATTTAAAGTCAGCATTTTTTTGTATTGTTGGAAAAAACTCATCATACCATCAAGGAACTCTTTTTATATAGTATTGACTGAAGATATAGAGAGATTTAGACAGGTGTAGAGCCCAAGTTGAATACTCATTTAAAATCTGAATTTATTATCTATGAATTAAATTTTTTTTTATTGAAGCATGGTTGATTTTCAGTGTTGCGTTAATTTCTGCTGTGCAGCAAAGTGATTCAGTTATACATATATATGTACATATATACACATTCTTTTTTAAAATATTCTTTTCAGTTATAGTTTAGTTTCAGTTATAGTATAGTATAGTATAGTTTCAGTTATAGGATATTGAATATAGTTCTCTGTACTATACAGTAGGACCTTGTTTTTTATCCATTCTCTATATAAAAGCTTACATCTGCTAACCCCAACCTCCCACCTCTTCCCTCCCCCAAACCCCTCCCCCTTGGCAACCACAAGTCTGTTCTTTATGTATTTTTAAAATGAATGGAAATCCTTCCATGTCTCTGCAAATGGCACAATTTTGTTCCTTTTTATGGCTGAGTCATATTCCATTGTACATATGTACCACATCTTCTCTATCCATTCCTCTGTTTATGGACATTTAGATTGCTTCCATGACCTGGCTATTGTAAATAGTGCTGCAGTGAACATTGGGGTGCATGTATCTTTTTGAATTTTGGTTTTCTCTGGGTATATACCCAGGAGTGGGATTGCTGGGTCACATGGTAGTTTTTGTGCCATTTGCAGAGAAATGGATGGACCTAGAGATTGTCATACAGAGTGAAGTAAGTCAGAAAGTAAAAAACAAATATCATATAATATCACATATGTGGAATCTAGAAAAATGGTACAGATGAACTTATTTGCAAAGCAGAAATAGAGACATAGATGTAGAGAGCAAACATATGGATACCAAGGGGGGAAGGGGGGTGGGATGAATTGGGAGATTGGGACTGACATATATACACTACTATGTATAAAATATACACAGGGAACTCTATTCAGTGCTCTGTGGTGACCTAAATGAGAAGGAAATCCAAAAAAAGAGGGATATATATATATATATATATATATATATATATACATATAGCTGATATACTTTGCGGTATAGGAGAAACTAACACAACATTGTAAAGCAACTATACTCCAATAAAAATTATTAAAAAAAATAAAATGAATGGAAGTCCTGCTGAATTCCTGTCATCTGTGAGTTCTGGAGTTGGTTAGTCCTTGTCTCAGATCTGGTTTATCTGTTTCTTCCTAATGAAGAGCAAACAGAGTTCTACGGCTTTCATGAAATGGGGGAGGAAATGAGGAAGAAGGTAGGGATTGGCATGTGACAAGCCCAGGGGACAACGAGGTTAATAAGATGTTTGCCAGTATCCTTGGTGTAACTTATTTCGTGTGGAGCTTTCCAGAGGGGGCTGAGAGATGGAACATCTGTGGTCTCAGGCACCCATGGGGGTTTGTCTCACGTTTTAGTGCCCGATGCCGTCTTGGTGCCAGGTTGAGCTTCAGCAGTATTGCCTGAATGTCCTGCAGTCACTTTCTAGTCCTGCCAGGGTCAGCAAAGGAAATGAAGTGTTGGCTGACAGTTACGGGGGAAAGAATTTGAGGCAAAGAAGAAATTTAAGTGTGAGGGGAGAGGAATAATGGATGTGAGAATGTAGAGGCCAGTTGGAGACTGGAATAGTCAGTGCAGGTGCTCCAACCAGCCATAAAACCAAAACGGGAGGAGGTAGGTTTAGAATAAACGACACACCGGTAGAAGGGGTTCTCTAGACTCTGTCTCTCTTTTTTTTTTTTAATTAATTTTTATTGGAGTATAGCTGCTTTACAATGTTGTGTTAGTTTCTACTGTATAGCAAAATGAATCAGCTGTATGTGTACATATAGCACCTCTTTTTTGGATTTCCTTCCCATTTAGGTCACCACAGAGCATTAAGTAGAGTTCCCTGTACTATACAGTAGGTTCTCATTAGTTGTCTATTTTATACATAGTAGTGTGTATATGTCAGTCCCAATCTCCCAATTTATCCCACCACCACTTCCCCCTTGGTATCCATACATTTGATCTCTGTGTCTGTGTCTCTATCTCTGCTTTGCAAGTAAGGTTATCTATAACATTTTTATAGATTCCACATATATGAGTTAATATACAATATTTGCTTTCCTCTTTCTGGCTTACTTCACTCTGTATGACACTCTACGTCCATCCACGTCTTTACAAATGACCCAATTTCATTCCTTTTTATGGCTGAGTAATATTCCATTGTATATATGTACCAACTCTTCTTTATCCATTCATCTGTCGATGGACATTTAGGTTGCTTCCATGTCTCCAGACTCTTTCTTGAGCCCTGGATTCATATTGTACTTGATACCCCACAGAACCCTTGTCTCATGACAGAATTCACTGTCTACCTGGAGTTCCCCCCAAATACAGACCATCGTTTCTTGGCAACATCGCCATTATTCACCTATTTGCTCAAGAGGAAAAAAAACTGTGAGTCATTCTGGACTGTTTTACTTCCTTTACTTCTAATGTTC